CAGTTTTTGCCTGTCCCGACTGTTTCTCGTGCTCTCATCCTGGGCTTTCTGCAACTCACCCAGCAGCTGGTGCACCCAACAAGGGAGAGAAAAGGCTATTTATCTGCTCATTTAATAATGAATCGATATACGGATAGAGTCTCCCACAAAGAAATGAGCAAATGCTGAGTTTCCACTGGTGGTCTCTCCACGGTCTTTCTCCAAGGGTTTGCCCAGAGGCGGGCAGCCCGTGCCAGCAGCCAGGGCTCGCTTGGGTCCCTGCTCAGCGGCCCCCAAAACGGCATCGCTGCGGGGATCCGAGGAGGAAAGGAACGCAGAGAGCCCGCGGATGATGGATGCTCTTGCCCCCGCGCCGGCGGGCTGCAGCTCTGGGCTGGCAATCGGGGGTCGAACCTAGTCCCCACGCACTTCTGCAAGGCACGACGTCTTCGCAGACACCCTCCGAGTGCCGCTCCGACTGCGTGGTTGGAAGCCCGTTCAGCTCCAACCTCAACCAAAGGAGTGGAGGGCCATCCTGCAGACCCCGGCAATTTACCTCCCTCAGAAAATAACTCCTGGAAAATTCTCTTTGCCATGTTGAACAAAGCTGCCGCTTAACTCCATCTCCAGCAAAACACGCTTTGTACAAGAGCAGGTTTTGAAATAGAAAGAGGTTAATTATTACTCTTTACAAGAGCGCCTTCAAGCAGCTTACAAACAAATGATGGCAACTTTCCTGAGCTTAGGGGAGTGGTTCTGACATTTTGGAAATGAAAAGAAGCGATAAAGGGTTCAGTCACTTTCCTTGCCTTGACAACGGTTTATAATTTCCCCTAAACCTCCCTCCCATTCTTGGGAACATTCAAGTACTCGGCACACATATTCAACATTTTTAGACCCTGCGCTCACTTTTCACCCTAGCTGCATGCTGAGCTCCAGGAGGGAGTGGCAATTTTCACCCCAAAAGGGACCCAAAAAGGGGCCGGAGCATCACACCGTGCAGCTCCTGCCCCGCTGAACCGGGCCTGTTTTCTCCCTTACACGCAGAAGGTACAGAAGGACATGGCTGGACAGTCATACCGAACCTTTCACACGCAGTGCTCACACGAGCTAAGCTATTTCAGGGAAAAACCTGAAACTGTGATGAAAACATACAGAAGCCACATAAGTAAAACTGAAGATTTCCGTATTTGGTAGGAGATTT